CCACACCCAAACCCAAACCCAAACCCAAATCCCAAACCCAAACCCAAACCCAAAACCCATAACCAGATGACTCTGTACCATTATAGGCCTCAAATCATCGACTCTCGCAATTTTCGGCGCAAGTTTGTTTAGGAGGATCAGGCATCATACCATGCAATACCAAAAACAGAATTAATGCATATGTACAAACCTACCCAAAAAATTTCAGAGAAAGAAGAAGTGGATGGAGGATTGTGAAATACCGACATACGCGGATGATGTTGTAATTTGTGAAAGAAAAGAATTGGCAAAGGAATGTGCTCAGTTCTTTAAATTAGGCAAGATATCTGTATAATTTTATCCCAAAATAAATTCATTTCCTAGATTAATATTCCCTAACGGATTTATTTATCTTCATTATAAGTTGCTAATGGAATACCATTAGGAGAGATGCATACTGATTAAACCAATCATTATTTTCATCTAATTTGGTTTTCTATTGCTCTTTCTAAATATTCCATAAAAGAATAGAGTTATAGGTCCTCTAGGATTTATTGCTTCTAAATTTAAAGTGAATGTCAATCAATGTGTATAGCAATTCATTATTTACTAAAAACAATAAGCATCTACATTTATAATAGCTAAAAATTGTTGTTATCCTCGCTCAATTTACCATTATTCCAGTCAAAAAAATATTAAGACATTTACATCATTTATCTTATCAACATACTCTTTTGAATTGGCCCCTATTGAAAATATGGAAATTCTTAAAATACCATTACTAATTACATCGAAAAGACCAAAAATGCTCTAATGAAATCATATTAAACGATGAACAAAAGGTTATGAATATCAAGAAATATTCCTCTGATAACATATATAAAGATACTTCTGACAAGTTTAAAGAGCTGCTTAGTAATAACGAATTCAACGGAGATCCCCAAATTAATGCAACATTTATTTCCAAAGCTGACAAAGTAGGAACAAAATTAAAATTGAATATTATCAAGAGCGTAATAATTTTAAGAAAATTTTTAATTGATTAATATTTTTAATAATAATAATAACAATAAAAACAACTTTGAATCTAAAGTACAATCCTTAAACTAATTATGATTCACACACTTCACAAAGTAATTTAATTAATATTATTTATTTATCTAATCTTTTATAATATATCTTAATAAAAACCATAAACTTTCAGGTAACCTATTTTTATTTTTTCTAGCTTAATTTTAATGAATAGGTGAATTGAAAAAATTTACTATTAATATTGTAATAAAACAGTATTGAATATATTATTTGTTCTCGTAAACTTTTCTCTCTATGGGCCTCTACACTCAAATTTGTAGACCCAATACAAAATAGACTATTAGAGTAAAGTTACCTTATAAGCTGGAGATCATAAATAATCATTAGATAATTACATGCAACTTAAATCTCAACTGTCTTAATTTTAAATAAAATATTATAAAACAAACACTCTTCTGATCATTTCACTGTGAAACTACCTCGAAATTCGTTCGACTCTGCAATTTGTATTATGAAACCGATTTCTATTAATAAAAGTTTGCATATTCTAAGAGGCAAAAGTAAATTTGTTCATATAGGCTAAGATGTTAAAGAATAAATATCTTTAATACAATAAGTATAATATCTAACATATATTTTAATAGAATTTCGAAGCATTAAAAATCAAATTAATTAGTGAGATCCATTATTTCATTTCAAAATATAATATGTCTAATTTTAATAAATCTCCTTATGTTCACACCATGATTAAATGCTATAGAGGACTAGCCTATCAAGACTTAATCTTTTTCAACGATTTTGGAAAAAGAGTAGTGAATTTTCATGGAGCATTAGAAAGGGTAAGCTATCTTGAAAATTTGCCATAAAAAATTTATGACGATTATTACAGGTGTGAGGTTGTCAAAATTCCAACTTAATCCTAATTTTGCTTTGAAGACCTTAAGCAACAGATTGAAACTGTTATAAAAAAGCCTTATTCTTCGTTCACAAATAATGGATCAGATAATTGTAAAGAGCTTTTAGAGAAACTGAATATAGATAGGTTACCATCTGACAACTTTGATAAAAAGGGTCTGATTGCATGATTAAATTATAGATCAACAATTTATCGAAAATTTTAATATTCCATCTGAATAAAATTAGGGCTTTCTATATAGAATCGACCATTCTTTTCTAGGCCAAGTTTGACATTTTATCTTAAGTGTTTTAAAAAAAGTCAAAATAAACAGAATTAAATGGAGATACTCTGAATAATTTGATATTAACTTTGATTTACAATTTTCTCTTGAAATCAGTCCATCTACAAAATTGAAGCTGATTTTGATCATGTAGTTTATCATCTCGAAATTCATTATAATTATGAATTGCAATTTTCTGATACTAATTCAAAATAAGAAATAAAAGTGATAAATCCTAAATCCAGTTGAGAAGATAGAAAAAGATGATATCCTAATTAATAATAACCTCCTCTCGACACATAGTTATTATCTTAAAAATCAAAAAAAGAACAGGAATAGCATGCATGCAGACAACATTCAATTTCATTATCTTTAAATTTTTAACATTAATTTAGGGCAGTAAATTAGGATATCTAGTTAAACAAAAACCTAATTCACCTAAATTAACCAATCCTTTATATTTCAAATTATAAATTTTAATCTTATTCTCTAAAATACAATCTAATTAATCTAATACATCATTTTTTCTAATAATCCATAATTATTATTTTAATTCATATAATGTAATTTATACTAACCATAGGAAATGATTAGTTTTTATGTTATCAATCATTTTGATATTTGATGAATATTCCTATAAAAAAAAGTTTATAAACCTAACAACA